ACGACGCCAGCGGACGGACGTGTATGTAATGTATATATATGTAGTGCAAGAGGGAGAGAGCAAAGCTGGATGGAGAGAGGGGCTCATCCTCCTCGTGCGCTCGTAATTTCGAGCCGTGTATAATTATCGAGCACTGTTGTTATGTGTGCGCCGGGAGATGGGTGATTTCTCCGGTGCCGGGGTCTTCCCTGGAAGGGGCCAGCCCGCGGCGGAGGCTCGAGACTCTTCCTGTTTACGGGTACACGTATATAAAACTCCGTAATAATGTGCAGCCTTGGCGCCCGTCGTCCCGTCCGAGTGGGGCCCGATTTACGGATTGATTTAGAACGATCTCCGTGCGTGGCCGAGGGAGAGGAAATACGAGGGTGATTAAATAATACGGGGCACCCTTGAATTTTCATTTTTCACGCGGGCCCCCGTTTTGATTTACTCCCTCCCGAGAAGTTCCCGGGAGAGCTGGTACAGGTTGCGCGCCTCGACGACGCTGCTACATAAATTCATTACTCTCGAGTGATTGTGTACTCTCTCCTCCCTGTCATAAGTACGCGGGTGGTTAACTCGAGCCCCCGACGCACGATTCTTCATTTTTCCCAATTTCTCGACTGACGGATATGGATGAGCTCGCGAATCGTGATTATGCTCGAAACGATTGCACTTTAATTTGAGGTTTCCATCGAATTGAGTGATTATCAATGAAACGTTATCAGAAAAAAAGGGCATCACGATAATAATGGAGGCTTGAAAAAAGCTTCACGCAAAAGAGAGCTTTTTGGGATTCCGAAGCTTTTGATCGGCATCCAGGTGACAATTATCATGGTAGAAAACAAGAGAAGATAAACCTCCACTTTTGAGAGATGGCACACCACCATATAACATGGATACAATTTTTTTTATAGATCATCCTCGTAAAATATAAGTACATCGAAATCAAATTCTAATTTTATTTTTCACATCATTGGCTCGAGTCTGATTTCCCGTGTCTCGCTTTTAGAGCTATATGTATATGCGCATGTTTCGAGCAAAGCTCTCGACCTCCCCATCAACTAGGCTACACGTATATATCCGCATGAAAAATACACTGCACCGGCGAATTCGTAGTGGGCTGATACAATCCGACATTAGAATCCCGTGTAGTAAACACACGCAGTATTCTTTTTTTAATGCCGCATCAAACAAGTACGAGCGTGGGTTTGTGTACATAGAGAGGCACGAGCTAAAATACACGATAAGCATCTATATACTTCCTTGCACACATGCTTCGACATCCGCAGCTTTCATAAAATTTTATTTTTCATTCCACTGTATCGTCGTTATTCCCTTTTTTTTTTTTATATTTTTTATTATCTGCAGCTGTAAAAAAAAATCGATGACTTTGGAAAATGTACATTTTTTATTACGTTTATACCAATCGTGACTTACAGGGATTGAAAATTCCCAAGCATAGGCCGGAGTTGAAAAATTTTACACAAATGTGCAGAAAAGCGAAACCAAAGCTAGCTGAATATTGGTCAAAGGAGTGAAAAAAATAACGCCATCCATGGGACGGTGGAAACTTATGGTTCCAGCGGATTATACAAACATGCAACTTGACCAAAAACAACAAGCCGAAAAACAGCTTGAACAAACACAGTGAGACGGGGCACGTACACGCGCGGGCAAAATCCATACTATATACGGCGCCGACAGTCATGGCGAGAAGCTTTGAGCAGAGTGATCGAAGCCCCGGCGTCAAGGGGGTGGCAGCTGTGTGTTCAGGTGAGCTGCGACACCTATAGGTACACACGCGTGCACACGCGAGAGCGTTTTAGCGCCAGAGGCTCGGAAAAAGTTTGATCGGCACGCACTGCCGACAGCAACCTACCATATACACCATACCATCAAGTATATATTTATACATATATGTACAGCGTACGTGCACGCGTTGCGCATTAAATATGAAAGATGTGTGTGGGTGTGCATGTACACCACCGCCAACCCTTCTTCTTTCTTTTTGTGCTGCTAGAACTTTTCCTCCTTCCCTCCTTTCCTTTTTTTTTTTTCTTCTCTGTTTAATATACAAGGGGGTGAGCTTTGGTGCCACATTAGTGGTATAGGTACAATACGTATCGTGAATACTTGAAGCAACTAACGAGTCCTCCCCTCCTCGATCCGGGGGAAAAACCGAAAATGATGCGTGACAAGGTTTTTCTTTGACATTTTGTTTTTAATAACAGGGTGTTTCTGATGTTTATGCCGACATTATGTAGTTTTATCAGTTTTTTTGAATAAACGACACGAGCGGTGTACTTATAAACAAAAGTTTTTCCGAAAGAGTGTTTGCTATTTATAAAATGATGACTTGTTTGCCATTTTGCTGATGGAAAGCCACAGTCTGTGGGCAAAATAAATACTCCTTGTGTCCCCGCATTGTACAACAAAGTCTCCGAGGCGTAATGAAATTTGGTACAACTGAACGATTCTGACCAAATGGATCAGTGCCAGGAACTATATATCCACTCGTGCCATCGATACAATACTCGTGCAAATTCGCTTCTCTTTGGGCTCTTTTCTTAAAATACACCAACGCGACCCGCTCGACTGGCAATGGTGTTTTGCATCGAATCGAGGCTCACTTCCGCGAGTCAAGTTACAATAGGTAAAACAAAAAAAAAAACACGTTATCATTCCAAATTACGCATACATTGGGCTAACGAGGTGTAACAACCGCTGACATGCGTGCTCTATACTCAGCAGCGGATCGGCAGCGTTGCCATGTTTTTCTTTCCAAGCAAGTTGAGCTTTAGCCGAGCAACGCCAACGGTTTGAACAACGCCTGCACACTGCATGCGGGCGATATCGTTTCAACGGAGGCGACGCCGGGACGCGGGGCCCCGATCGAGCGGGACAAGCGCAAAATGTGTACACGCTAATCATCGGAAACGCACGTGCTTGCCCGTTGTCTCGTTAATGGCTCTCTCGCGCTCCAATTTGGACAATACAGGAGCAGCGAATGCTGATCCACACCGCGGTTAATCATTTTTTCGTCATTCAGTGCTCTCGTCCGTGCAGAGGGGGTTAAAAGCAAAAGAAAAAGACCTAAGCGTTCGCGGGCACGCCCCGAGCAGGTACAAAAGTACCCGATCGCTTTCGCGATAAACTTTCGCGACTCGGAAGGGTGGAGGGGGGAGAGAAAACAACTAGGGGAAAGGAGAAGAGCAGAAGAGAGAGAGAGAGAGAGGAGAAAAAAAGAGAGAAGAAATCGCGCTGCACGGGCTTCCTCGATACTCTTCCTCTACACACACACGTAAGGGCGCGATGACACTCGCGGATGAAAATCCACGAAGGCCGCGTTCGAGGCTTATCGGCGCTATAGGTTCTTCTTTTGCCATACGAGAAGGGGTATATATACATATAAAAAAAAATATAATACATGCACATGGGTATATAGGTAGTATAGAGTGTATTGGCGGTTGGAGGAACAAGAAGGATGAGAGAGAAAGAGCCCATGTGCGCGCGCAAAAGCAGCGGGGGAGTGCCCTCCAGAGCTTGCTATGTGCTCGCTAGCCAGGGCTTGAGAACTTTTCATCGCTGCATGTGTCGATGGGAGGGAGGGATAAGGCGCGATTTCGATATGGGAGAGCGGAGCTTATCGACCCCTGCCTGACTCCGTGTATATACCATAGTACCTACTACGTGTGTACAAGCTGCAACTCTCTCTCCCTCTCAAGAGAGTGTGCGCGCCAATCTCTCTCTCTGTACACGTACACACGTGCCTACACCACATACACGTGCAGCTGTTGTATATTATGTACCTACTTATACCGTGTGGTAGCTGATACCGTTGGTGGAGGGGCCAGAGAGGGAGATTTTGATTTTAGAAATTTATTGTCAGTGGGTATACTCGAGCTCCTCAGCTCTGTCGGACGGATAAACGGATTATCGGCAACAGATCGCGATTCCGTCCGAAAATCCCCGGCAGAGATTTCTTTTTTCTTTTTTTTTTTTTTTTTTGTTTGTTTCATAAGAGCACAAAATAATAGTGATAAATAAACGTATGTATAATACATGTATCCCCTCGCTGCGGGTGAGCGTGTAAAAATAAATGTCGAAATAACCATGATGGGACGAACGTTTCGTTAATCGCGGGATTAACCGTGCAGTACCTATATGTATACGTGTATACGCGGAGGTAATATATATAACATGTTGTTAATACGCGCCTGCCAATAACGCGGCATTTCAGTGTAGTTTTAAATCCGCGTAAAACTTTAAAAGCTCCGGTGCTTTCGAGTATATAGGTACTAGAGTGTAATCCACTTGGGATAGTGGAATTAAAGTTTTTTCACGAAAGCCCTGCGAAATAAAAATTCAATTGCCAAGAGCTCGTGCAATTGAATCGATACTCATTTATTATTATTATTTTTCAATTCAAGACCAAAATCATCGCTTGATTCAAATATACCCCGCGCATCAATCACGGAAAAAAATCCGTACTCCCGAGGTAAAGTACAAGAACGAGCAGCGCGAGGGAGACGAAACTGACGCGGGCGCGCGTACGAGATAGAGATCAGACCGGGGCGGCTAAAATAGATGCGATTATTCGAGAAAAGTCGCGCCTGCAGCCTCGCCGCGCGTGTAAATTGGAGGGGTGTTGGCAAGAGTTGACGCTCGTGATTTTGAAACCCGATAAAAACCCGAGGCCTGGCGCGACAGATGCCCGGAGGATGATATTATTTTCGAAAATCGTCACCCGCGGTCGAGAGCTCGCTTGGCAAGATCGAGCCAACAGATATTATTCCACGGCCCACCGTGCACGCGTAGCCACCATCAGACTGTGGACGCCTATATACGTTGGTGTGGATCCCGTCTTCGACATTTAGGATCGTAATATTACGCCTTCTCGGTACTTGCAGCTATATGCATCCATGTCATGTATATTTATATGTGTACAAAATATTTGAGGTCACAGGTTGATTGATTATACGTACAAGGGAAGAGTGTGAACATTTAGCTATACTCACCGGCCACTCTTCGTGATGACCATCTCGGTGCCGAGTTTGTGAAACTTCTCCCAGAGCTCCTTGCCCTCGAGGGTGACCTTGGGATCGTCGACGACCCCGTCCTCCTCGGGCGGCGGTGGAGGTACCAGGTGCGGGTGCGGCCCCGCGAGCGGATGGTGGCCAGCGAGCGGGTGGGGCGAGGGTAGCATGCCGTGGGGCAGGGGTGGCCTCAGGGGCCTCATGCCACCCGGCCCCGCCGCTCCGGCTCCCTGGTGATGGTGATGGTGAAGGGCCGCAGCCGCAGCGGCCGCCAGCACCGCGTGGGCCTCCTCCGTCGTCTGAGGCCCGAGGCCCAGACCTGTAAAATAACACGGACACTTTGACTAACGAGTTTCGTTTCTTGTACTACATGTAGACTATATCTTTCCCCGTGGGCATATTAATTCGTTCGAGTTACAGGTGCGCAGCCGACATTTTTTATTCAAACCAGAGACGCCTCGTTTCGATGCAGCATCTCTGCTTGACTCGCGAGCAGAATACATTTATTAAAAAAAAAAAAAAAAAAAAAAAAAAAATATACACCTTAAAATTTCCATTCTGGTATATAGCTGGGCCCGACGCAAGTAAGATGTTCCGAGCCCGGGATGAGCGGCGATTCGCCCGAGTCCCCGAAAAATTGAAATTCCTCGGACGCTTCGAGTGTGGACGCGGAGGAAAAAAAGAAGAAGTCAGACCAGTACCATTGTTGTTGCTGCTACTATCAACGAGAGAGGAAGAGGCCCAAGAAATGTATGATCAAATATAACAACAACAACGGCGGCACAGTAGCTAGTTAAACAAACGCTCGTCATCTCGGAGGGGTCACTTAAAAATTCCGGAAGCGTAGCTGCGCGTCCATTCATAGCCGCGGCCAAAAATCATCGTCCGGTTTCGGGAGGCCCTTACATCTCTTTCTCGGGGCGAGTGAGACTCGTTTTTCGGATCGTGCTCCGCTTGGCCAAGTGAAAAGTGAATGAAAACAAGCGGAGGAGGATGGGTGCTGCAATCAGGTTCCGGCGCATGAATGGGGCGCCCCGGCGAAACGTAAAATAATAATAATAATAATAATAATAATCGTAATCGTGAAATACAACTCTTATACTGGTGCACCCCCCTACACGTGTTTTACCGGCCCAAAAGTGTCTCATGCGTGCCTCGACTTTTTAATTCGCCTCGAGAGACGGGCATATGGGGCCCGAGAGGAAGAAGAAGGCGTCGTTTCAGCCAAAGGCCCGAGAGATCTCGCGTCACGTAGCCCATTAAGATGCCTATCTGTGGCTAGAAAAGCTACGTACGCTCGTCGCGACTGCGGCTCGGAAGATGCGAAAAAAAAGAATAACGCGCCCAGAAGCGAAGGGAGGAAGGAAGGAAGGAGGAGGAGGAGGAGCGCATGAATGAAACGTCGCCGAAAAATCTCCTTTGTCTCTGACGTCTCTCTCTTCCCCCCCCCCTCCTCGGGCTCTCTCCTAATGGGCCCGAGAGCGCACCGCGACGTGCCTCAAAGAGCCTGAAAGTAAATGCGGTTACGTGCGTCGAGGGTTGAGCCGCGGCGGCACGAATAGAGCGGATCAAACGGAACGGCCAAAGAATAATACTTACGCGCGTTGAATGAGTGAGCGGGCCCTTGCTCCTGCCCAGGGGAACACGGGGCCCGAGATTTTTATTGTTTCAAGACCGGCAGCCGGGGTCCTCGGACCGCGAACCGGAGGAGGAGGTGAGTAGCTATCTCGTGTTTTTTCTCTTTTCCCCGCCCATTTGTTCACTCGCCACACTCGCATGCGCAAACTGTAACAGCACAATTTGGCCCATACAACACGCGCGCTCTCCTATAATATGCCCAACGACGCGAGGTGAACACAAGCACGAGAGCGCGTCTTTTGGGGAGGAGGCAATTACCCGCGAGCTTGCAATCGGAACAATACACATACCAATGGAGAGCGAGGTTCGAGGTGGTCATACACATAGCGAATAAGGTTGATATGCCAAAAGGAGTGCGAGTTAAAGCTTATAAAAATAGAATTGACGAACTCGCGCGGATCGATAGACCAATGCATGACATCGGTAACAATTGTCTTTGGCGCAAACAGAAGTGCACGTTAAAGGTATATTGTAACATGTACACCAATCACTCAGAGTCTCAGCAACAACATGTATATTTATATAGCCTTGCCCGACGATTCAAGAGGGATGTACGTATATATCCCAACATATGTGCATGTGTGTGTATGCTGCATCGCCAAGTGCACACAGCCGCCAACACGTTTGGCTCTATGTGTACACAGTATACATCGCCGCTCGAGAGTCGGGAATAAGTAGGTATTTATTTACGCGCTTTTTACTTGTTAAGGCGTATGTAGCTCGCGTGTAACGATACGCGGCGACATATTCCGATTTCGAAATCATCGTTGAACTCGTTAGTCGGTGTTACACTGGTTTCTGTTCGTCGATCGATCGGTGGATGAATAACGCGACGTTTCTCATTACGAACGCCCGAGATCAACGTTGACTGGAATTTTTACGTGGGCTTGCGTTGGCGATTTCCGGTCAATGACTAGGATATATTATAACAAAAAAAAAGAAAAATTTATAAAGTAAATACCTTATCAAATGAGATTCCGTGTCTTCTGAGCGCTTGGGGCGATATCAATGACATCTTATGCCGCAAAAAAGCTGCGCAGCTTTTGGATGACGGTTGATATAGATCACTCGCCAAGCGCTCAAATCGTCGTCCATGGTCAGGAGGGATGGCATACCATGTTTTGGGAGCCCCAAAATGTAGATAATTGATGGAATATAAATCTTGATCTNGGCGATACAGTGACAAGTATCGGAAGACATATGTAGAAAAAAAAAAAAAAAAAAAAAAAAAAGGGAGAAAGTAAAATCAAGTTTGTACTTAATTGATTGAAAAAACGCGTCGACACCTTGCAACTGTGTCGTTGCATCCCTTCATACATTGTACGTGCCCAAAGCATTGGGTAACTACATGTATACACGTATAGATAACACACGGCGCCAGTGCAACTAAACTGGCGCGGCAAAAACGAGGAAACGAAAAATGATGTACATAACATTATTACAGTTGGTTTTAATTAAGATCAATGGAGGCGCTTAACCACTCGGCTGCTCGCGGATAGCAGCCCTCCCCCCCACTTTCTCGGATCCAAGGAGCCAGAGGATTGCATGCCCCGCAGGAGCGAGCATAAAAGTAGAGGAGAGAGAAAAAAAGAAAACGAAAGCCAGTCGAGCGAAACGATTCGCTTGCCCGATAATTTATAATTATCGCGTTGAAAAGACTTACCGCGACTCGCTCCCTCGCGCTAGGCGGCCCTCATTTACTTGCCCGTGTGCACGAAAGCGCATACCTATATATCCGCCACTCCGCGACCCTATACGTATACTTGTGCGTGTTACATAATTTGGTGTATTCAGCCATCGGGGAGCAGGAAAAAAGCGCGACGGGACAGCTTTACGCTCACGCGTGGTGGTAAAACCATGCGGATTAATATAGGTGTATTTGAAGTCATCGGAACTCCGGAGTGTCTTGCTCTGTCGCTTCCAGATTTTTTTTTTTTTTTTTTTTTAGGTCATCTTTCCGCTAAGCTATCATAGCGCAGAGCATATAGGGACGTTTGGGCGATGATTGGCCATTTTATTTCAGATCAAAAAAAAATTCTTCAACGCTTATCAATGAGACTTAAAAATATGGGTCCAAGTGCGTTGTAGTTATATTATTCCAATTGGTGAAAAAATTTTTCAAAATAACTAAACTGTAGTTTTAATTGCTATATACCGTTGTCAGATATTTATTATACCTAACAGATCTCATCTCTTCCGTGGATGGGAGAAAAGTACAATAAATCAGCTCAAACTAGGAATACGTACAATTGCTATAATTCGAGCGATAATTACTGGCTGCATAACTTTGATATGAAACGGTAAAATTGAAAAACGATTTTTGAACAAAAAAAAAAAAAAAACTAAAAATAACGCGTTGGTTATTAAAGGAAGAAAAAAAAAGCCTACAGTTAAGTACCAAGAGACTAAATGGCTTGGTGGAATATTTTGTGATCGGCAAATGAATTTGAAAAATTGCGCAATACCGAGGGAAAAAAAAACAATTGTGTCGTGAAAAATAATTGATGAAGCACAGCAAGGCTGTGGCACATGACACGCTTGAACGATATATTCGGCAATTGTCTCACGACGCAGTCGTGACCTCGACGATCGAACGGCGCATACGTAATAATATACACGCAGGTATCGGTGCGAGTGACTATTTTTTATTTGAGCCATTGTTGTTCTCACTGAATACCTACTTGTTACTATAAAAATTAGTTCAAAGTTTCGAGCTCTGGGCAGTTCTTTTTATGTCATACCACTTTTGTGAAAGAAATATTAAAATTCGTTATTAATATTTTGCAAACGTAACTTTGTACTTTTTTCGCCGCAATGCCTTGAATTACAAAAAATATCTATTTTAACGTTTGTTTCTACATGAAATGAAAACTAAAAAGCAATAGACAGTCAGCCTGTATGCACATCATCGAAATATATTTATTCTTTGAAAATTTCAGTTGCAGTTAAGTAAGGCACGTAAAATGTTAGAGTTTATCAAGTTTTCGAGACTAATAAAAATTAAGTGACCGCTATAATAATGGTCAACATAAGAATTTTAGGAATATTATACCTATGTTTAACTACTTATTCATCGTATCTGTGTTTTTAAGAAGCAAGAGATACATTTAAATTATGAAAAAATTTAAAACGTTTGTCATTCAGTTCAATCGAATTTCGAAGCTAACATTTTAGTTATTGCAGATTTAAAATAGTTTCAAGCCAGAATTCATATATTTTAGGAAATACGATGACAATTTGAAGACTCGTACGAAAGAACTACTGTACGCGTATGCGAGAGATGAAACTGACACCAGATAATTATTAATGGTATTGTCTCTACATACAAAAATTCTTGAAGGATGAACCAAACTTTTAATCTAAAAAAATATAACTCTCAGAGTCGTACAACAAATTAAGTGCACCAAGTCCTGTAAAAATTCTGCACCTCTCGGCATTTTACAATTTTTCTCAAGTCACGAAATCTGCAACGTAATTTGTCAAACTATGAAACGAGTACGCAGCTTTCGATTCAAACGTATGATGAGGCATCGAGTAAACGTAATAAGCTAAAATGTAATCTGATTTTTACTTTGGGCCTAACTCGTTGACAGCTACTGAAACTACAGCCATTACCGTTTAACCATACACGGCGCTTGTAATGGGATCCGCGCGACGATAATCCATGTAGTTTAGCATCGTCCACGCGGAAAAATAACACGGTAGGAAAATTACAGTATCGGCGACTGCACGTCCGACGCAATAATGGCAAAGTGTCCGGAAGATTAATTCGAGGCTCGGCCGAGAAAACACGTAACGGCCAGACAGTGCCGGCTCGGATGAATAATTGCCATTATGAATCGAAAATCCCCATACAGAACGAGCGGCAAGGCTACACACAATGCCCCTGGTAAATTTATTCGCGCAGCGCCACGCTCGTCGTCGTCGCATCGGAATAAAATCGTGAGAGAGTGATTCACATGGTACGCGTATACATACGCATCGGGGAAGCACGTCCGAGGAATCACATTTCTCAATCCGCGATGATGCCCCTCGCTACGGTGACTGTCTGTACATTTGCAAGTGCGCGCGTGTGTACATATATATATATGTAGCGAGGAGTAACCGAGCCTCGTTGCGTGGCCTTTGATCCTTTGCCGACGAAAACATAAAAATTTCCATTGTTTTGACGAAAATGTGGATGGAAATTATTCGACGGTCTCGCGCGTTGCGCCATTTCACGTATATATTGCCTTACCCCCGCCCCCTATGCGATTCGTACGTATATCTTCGAGGCTCCTCGCGCACCGCACATTTTGGCTTTCACGTTCACGTTTTTGCGAAAGAAAACGAATCCCCGGAGCGAGACCGCAAATACTTATTCCGCGAAAGCGCCTCGTGGCGTAAAAATCGCCTTTCGAGCCCGACGGGCAATCATCGCGTATTAGGCGCTGGGAGCGTCCTCTTCTCTGTCAAAGTCGTTACCGTCGATCGCTCGGGTGGATGGGGATGACGGCAGCTCCACTTTTAATTTTCAATCGAAGGCTCGGTGCATTCCTCTCGAGCTGTCCGATGCTAATAGCGAAAGGGGAAATCGGCCGGGATCGCTCGAGAGCGAGATGGAGAGCAGAGGGCATATACATAGTTTGAGAGAGAGAGAGAGAGAGAGAGATATATCCGGGAATACGAATGGTGACGCGCGATTGTGAATGTGCAACGCGAAGCCCCGAGAATTGCGCGGTGCCTTATTCGTCGCGCCGATTTTTTTCTCTCGCTTTTGTTTATAGCGGCCGTAAGTAAGTACAGCCCGGCAGAATTACGCGTACGGGAGCGCATTCCGAATGCGCGGAGCGTTTTCGCTCTTTCTCTAGGCTCGGGAGAGCGCGTATGCACATGCGTGCGTGGTGCTGTTGATGCTGCCCTTGGTAAGATTAATCGCCGAGCCCGCGGCACGCCGAAGACACCATTCCGGGGTTTTATCTCTCCTTTTTTATCGCCGCTTCTTGGAAAAATTTCGCGAAATTTTCGTGGACACGTCCGTCCGTACCTCATCTCTTGCTTTCTTCTGTCGTGCTACCGCATGGATTTTTTTTTTTTTTTTTTTTTTTTTTTTTTTTACGTTGCCTCGTGACTATGAGAAAGTGCAGCGTTAGCTTGGAGAGGAAGGCATTATTGAGATTTATTTTTCATCTGTACGTATACTGAGAAACAACATTTTTTCACTTGCTTTCACCGAAACGCTTTATTTTTTTACTTTCATTCAATTTTATCCAATCGCCAATCATTTGCAATTTTTCATAGCCCGCACTGGTTATCAAATATAATAATTGTTTGGAAATTTTGTACTAGTAGGGTGAAAAAAATTACAAAAATTTAAGAAAATTAGAAACTATGGCTATGAAAGTGATGATGTACAAACAATTTGTCGCTCTAGAATTTTTTTCCAGCTTCAGAGCCAATGGAAGAAGAGTTCAATGATTGACATTTATATTGGAAGCATGTTTGAAAAAACAGGTTCTCTCGTTTGCTAAAATGAAAAAGAAAGAAATAAGAGAAATAAAAAAAAAAAGGAAATTGCGGTGCTCTGAAACAAATGAAAACAGCCGCGTCTGCGAGTTAATATAACGTTAAGGATATCTCGAAACGAAAATAAAAGAAAAAGGTCGGAGAAACAAAATGGATTGACATACGAAGGTGAGCTGCCGTGCAAAAATCAGCCAAGGCAGACCGCAGAGAGGTGACACGTGTACCCATCCCGAAAGAGGGACGGAGCGAAGTAAGGCTCGTTCTCCTCTCGCGCGTCAATTCACACGGATATAAATTTGGGAGGCCGCGAAATGTGTGTACACACCAGCACGACGAGGGGGCCAAGCAGCGCCGATTGGGCATTCCGCGGGCATAGCTTGCGCGAAAATCGCGCGTCGAGCCTATCGAAAGAGAAAAAAAAAAAAAAAAGGGTGTTGGCTCCTCGGAATTTTAAAGCACGCACTTCTAAAACAAAAAAAAACAAAAAAAAAAAAAGTACAGCAGCAGTGTCCACTTTTCTAACGATCATTGTTAGCTGCTACAAACGGTAGCCGCTCCTCACGGACCACCGATCGGTCCGTGCCTCGACTACGAAAGAGAGCTGGGCACTTTGCAGCCTCGAAAAGGAGGGGAAAAAAATAAAGCCTAGGGAATAATATTACACTCAAAGATGGGCCGTACAAAAATAAAACCACTACCAGCCTAATGGCGATTTTTATGGCTGCGCGCCCCTCCTCAACAACGCTATACCGCCCGGAAATCCACCCACGGAATGCTTTTAACAATGAGATGAAAATCGAAAAAACGGACGAGCGTAGCCACGATTGTAAATGTATTGACGTTACAAGGGTGCAAAGAGTATACGATAATATAAGGATCTTGAGGGGGCAAGACTGACCTGAGGGCCCAATGCCATGGGGACTGAAGGCCGGGTGGTGGTGCGTGCCCGCGAGCATGGCCTTGCTCTGTAGGTGGTGGGCAGCAGCCACGGCAGCCACCGAGGTGGGCGAGCCCGGGGCCGGGGGTAAGTGGGGCCCCGGACTGTAAAAGCCCGCCGCAGCGAGGGCCGCCGCCCCAAAGTAGTTGGCCGCGGCCACCGAGGCGCTCGTCGGGTGGTGGGCCGACGACAGTGGATCGCTCGCCGAGCGCTGGGGCGGTGGTGGGCTCTCGGGCACGGCAGCCGGACTACTCGGACCCCCGGCCCCGGGTGGTGGCGAGGCGCTATCCTGAGAGGAGGAGCCGCCACCACCTCCCGAGTGCGGGGCATGACTGGTAGCGGCCGTCAATAGCGACGAGACGCTAAAGTCGGTGGGCCTGGGGGCAGCCGGGGCCGGCAGCAAGAGTCGCCCGTTGCTCGGGCTGCCGTTGGCCGCGGGCTGCGAGGCGCCGACCATCAGGCTACCGCTGGACGACGACGACGTCGCCGCGGCCGCCGCTGCCCCGAAGGGCGAGTGCCGGCTGCTGCTGAGGCTCGCGGCGGCCGGGGCTGGGTACGCCATGCCGGGGCCGGCCTGCTCCGTTTTGAGCACCGTCTTGCCGGCTGGGGAGGCGTCCTCGGGAATTTCTGGCTCCTGCGTGGCTGGTGCAGGCGCGACAGCGGCCGGACTGCTTCGTTCCTGATGCTGCTCGTGGCGCTTTCTCTTGGCCGGGGACGGTCCGTCACGATTTTTATCCTCCTCCTCCTCTTCCTCGTCGTCGTCGTCCTTGCTGCTGCTGCTGCTGCTGCTGTCTTCGTTGTTGTTGTTGTTGTTGTTGTTGTTGTTGTTGTTGTTTTCCTCGTAGTCGTTGTCTTCGCGGACCGGTATGATGGTAGCTGTGGCTGCTGCTGCGACCACGGCGGCCGTGTCGCCGGCGGGGCTCCGGGACTGCCGGGCGCGCGGTAGCAGCTGCGGGTGGCTCAGCTCGGCGAGGCGCTGGTGCTGCTGGGCAAGGACTTGCTGGAAGTGGCTGCTGTAGTTCTGATGGAGGTGGTGAAGCTGGTGGGACAGGTAGTGGTGATGATTATGGTGATTGTGATAATCGTGGGTCTGTTGATGCTGCTGCAGAGAGGCGGCCGGTGGGAGCGGAGTGCTGGCGCAGTGGGTACCCCTGCACGCTGTATCCTGTTCGAATCTCATCGAGAATCGGTGCAGCGCTGCCCTGCGAGTCGCGCGAGATTTAACTCTTCGAGTGACTCAACTGTCCAGGGCCCTCCGATTAACTACTCTTCTTCTTCCACTTGTTCTTACAAAAAACACCCTCGATACGCTTTTTAATACTTTTGTTACGCCAATCTAAAGTCTATTGTTTTTTTTTTGTCTTTTTTCAATTTTTATTATGCTCTGTACCAACATTGGCCAGACAGCCAAATTTGTCAGAGTCAGTTAACTTTGTCTCGGCAGCCACACGGGTGCTCCAAATAATTCTCAGGAACACTGTCAATTGATATGTATCACGCACATACGTACACACACGCACTTTCACTCACTCTTTATTTATATCCGGCAATGTTGTATCTCGTGTCCAGCGTTGAATAAAACAAATTTTTGGCGTATTCTCTTCAAGAGAAGACCAGAGATGATGCCCCTTGGTCGCTCTTATCGCGAAGCCGTGTGGTGCCTCCTACAAAACTGTGACAGCAAAAGCACTTTGTCCTGGTGATTTCCAGTTCCATCGTCGTCGTCATTTTCGTTGACGTTGCGTTGCTCCATTAGCTGCACGCACCGCAACTGACACTGAAAACTCAACTTGTCACACCGACAGTTTATCACAACGGGGAGACGGACACCCTGAGTGAAACGAAGGTTGACGACTGTGGGAGCACCGCATTTTTTTTAGCAAGGCTCGCCAGAGAAACGGTTAGGGTGAGCGTGCGTGCATGCAACCCTCCCCCTTTTTATTTCTCTTTGCAGATTTAGTGTGCGTCGCGCGCGAAACAAAAATATTCTAGGCAACGCCGGTTGACGCTTCCGACGGCCGGCGAACCACCTCCCGACAGACGACCACGGTACAACGGCCTGGCTTGTGTACTCTATTCTGCGTCTCATACACGGTGTACACTGTCACAGCATCAACCTGGGCCACACAATTCAACCCCACGGCTGGGACGCTGGCCTCTTTGAGGTTATGTGCGTTAAACTAAACTCATCCACCCACGCACTTTTATTTACACACCGTATTTGTTACTATATTGTAGACGTATGCACCAAGTGACGAGAATGTCCACAAGAACAGCGACGAGCTTGCGTGCCTGGTGCAAGTAAATAATAATGTGTATACGATAATTGCCAGTGATAACGGACGCGCACCCCAAGGTATACACTGCAATGTGATACTGCGGTGGTGGCGAGTTTGGTTTGTTGCTGCAAGCGCCTCCGGAAACGAGCTGCGACGGCGCCGGTGACGCGAGAATCGAAGGTGTTACTTGGGTGGTGCCGCGATGGTCACTGAGCAGCGCTAGGATTGACACCTTCTCCGAGGCCTCACCCCCACACCTCCGCCGGTGGCGGAGGGAAGGTGTTAGTGCGCCAAGTCCCGGGGAAGCGCACCTCTCGCTCTTTCTCGCGCGCGCGCGCGCTGCTCTGTCTCGCTTTCTGCTCCCAGAGAGAGCACACGGATAGCCGACGAGGACGCCGCTAGCCCAAGCACGCCCGACAGAGTCTCGCTTGGCAGCGAGGTAGGGGGGGGCCGTCGCTACCCCTCCACTGCCCCCACTAGGCGGCGTTCCGTGGCACAGTCGGACGCGTCAAACCGGTCGCCTCTGCCCCTCCGCTCGCCCCACCACGGACAAGACTGCCGATGTATGTATTTATATATATATATATGTATATATATGCAAACAACACCGGCGATGCAGGCTTGGCAGAAGCGAGTAGGGCGCGTGTGTGTGCGTGGGGCAGATGCCAGCGCGATGTAACAATCCGCACGGGAGGCGTGAATGCCGGAGGCGAGCGACGCGAACTGACTGAGCCGCCGGCCGGCCCGCAGCTCCTCCTGGTCCCCCCTTTCCCCGCTGACCGGCCGCGGTGGTGGGAGAGCAAAGTTATAGGTGGGGTGGGGGGTGGGGAGTTACCTCTAGTTGGGCGATAATGAGCGCGCGCCTAGCGGATTGGCGCCTGAACACCAATCGGCGCGGCGTTGCCTGCGACGCCTTTGTCGACGCGTGCAGCTGCTCCATACTTGTGTATACTCGGTGACCCCTCTCCTCCCCCCACCCCTCCCCGCGCCCCAGGGGGACCAACGCGGAGTGAGATAGTTTGAACCCCCGAGGAAATCTCGACGACGTTACGGAAGACGTCCCCTGGCCCCCGCTCTTCGCGGATATCGTGGCATTGTGGTGCTCCTCGGTCAGAGGGAGCGAGAGCGACTTTGAGGGTGTTTAACCGCGAGTACGCCCATTAACACTAGCTTTCCCGCCCCTCTGCCCCTCCCTGGCACCTTCGCTCCGACGCTCACTGCTACTTCTCTCCGCTGGTGTTATATCCAATACGTACACATTATATTTATATACGTACCTACTTGGCTCTCGAGACTTTTTGCCCTCCTCACTTTATTTTCTCTCTCTCTCTCTCTCTCTCGTTCTCGAAATCACTTTCTCAGGTAAGTAGACTTAGAGGGTGGGAGGGTGAAGAGTTGCCTCAGAGATGTGGATATATGCAAGCCAAAGGCGCGCGAGCCGGCCAACTTTTGACGCGGTTCCTTCGAGCAACTTCTTTCGAGGTTTCTTGTCGGATGGAGCGGCTGTATACTACACAGTGTATACACAAGCAAAGTCAAGAGTCAAGAGTGAGTACAGGAGAAGCTTAGCTGCTGCTAGTAAGGGAAAAAAAAAAAAAAAAGTTTAACGAGAAGGTATCGCAACACAGGAGTGTTTCCCGAACGATTAGGATGCTATTACGTACGGGTTTTCTTCTACTTATCATATTAGTGAATTATTTTCATCTTGGACTGTTAAATTTATGAATAAAAATTTTTACGTCAATCAAGAAATGCAAAATATTTATGTACAATGGCTCATGGTGAGAATTTTATTTTTTAATAGTAACTACTTTATTAAGTTAATTCTGAAATTCTCATACATATTGGTGTTTTATGATTTAAAAAAAAGTTACCATGTGTCGCGTTTAGTAGCGTCATTAATTTAATCAAAATTCATAAAAATCCAATTTAATGTGTTTTAAGATATTTAATTTATACTAATAACGTTGATAACTAAAATGTTTATTGTGTGAAAGGCAACTGACGAGTTATAATAGGGAATTCGATTAAAAATTTGAACATAAAATGATGTTAGCACTATAATTTTACTCTTCAAAAGAGTAATTTTTATTATTAGTAAGTATTTTGAGTGTAATATTTTTAACAGCACAATTATAAATTTCTCAGTTCAGGTGTAATTTTTTTATTTTAAGAATCGAAAAATGTGGTTGGATATTGAAAGTTATATTTAAAATATAATTGTACATCAATTTTTTAGGTAAACAAGTTGAAGGAGCCTTCAGTAATTGTTTATTCATAAAAGTTCTGAACTAACTCAAGAAAATTGGTACACTATTTAATTTGAAAAGGAATTAATAATTTTGAATCAATAAATTGTTGAGTATGTATAAGGTTTGAAGATATCGAAAGAGTAGGAGGACATAATATTTTTTCATGTATATTTCCGTTAATACTCATGTAAAATTAATGGATTTATGTTAGTAACAACCAAGTTTTAAATGTATATGTTCCTATTTTTGCGAGTAACTAAAGTTGACAGTCCTGAAAAATCGAAGAGTTTGTTGTCTCGAATGTATACGCTTTCAAAAAAATTGAAACATATCTTTGTTTTTAATGCCAATGCAAATCGACAAAGAACTAAGCAGAAAATTTTCCCATGTAATGCACTGCAAATTCAAGTTGCGCCCGTACAGAAAACATTGCTCAACTCAGAATACAATAAAAAAAGTCTGCTAAACAAAATTATTTTTTCTCAACTGATGCGCCATAATACACGTCACGTAGCCAAACTCTGCTGGCGTAAAATTAGCCCGCGCCTGGTTCTCTCGGCCGTCGCTGCCTTTTCTAAGTATACTATGTAGTTTCGGCTCCTCGCGCTACTCGAACAACAGCAGCCCAAAATAATAATACTCATGCGATAGCCGCAGAAGAACCAGCGCACGATCTTCTACGGGCTGTACATTTTTTCTCGAGACAAGGACGCCCCGAGCGTGCTCGGGTGGGGAAAGCGGGAGGAGAGGCGCAGGGAGGGCCGCGATTATCCCCCTCCACGCGTTTCACGGTTCTCGGGGGCGCGCCCCGCTCCTCTCCCTCCTCGGCTCTCGTCATTTGCTGCGCTCCTCGAACGCGCCGACCATCAGAGCCATATTTCCCGAGCCGTCACCCTCGTCGTCCCTCGAGCATCGGTGTGTTGCAGTGCGCGACACCCTGGCGTCCGTGGCCCTATACGCCGATGGTGTTCACCCCAGTGTTGACGATTCCCGAGGCACGGATACAACAAATAAGAGTGAAAACGGGGGGGGGGAGGCCAAAAGTTTTTCAGCAGAAGACTTTGGGGGTGGAAATTCCACACACGTAAGTAAGGCTATTTTGTCGAGGCGACCGTCCCAAGTGCGCGTTCCAAGGGCACTCAAGTCGGAGCTGTAAGCGAGATCTCTCCTTTCTCCACCCCCCCCCCGCCTTATTTTTTAATGCCAAAAAATGTAGATTGCTCGCGTATATAGTAACAATTTAGTGTTGATGATTTTCATTTCTTCAAAAATGTATGGCGAGTTATTAAAAAGTTTCTTTGAAATATCCAAGTAAATAACACTTTTACAACTAAAACAACTAATGTAAATTTTATAAAAACATACATTGTTTTAAAACGCTATACAAAGCCGGAATACTATCAACTTTACATAGGAGAGACTTGCGCGAAAAACTATGTTGTACTTTTCATTCCACGGCGATTTTTATTTTTCACGTGTACAATCCAAACTCTTGTATCACAAGTGTCACTTATTAACACGAATCGATGTATTGCAATTATGAAATAAAAAATAAAAAAAAAATCATGCAACTGATGTGGTCCGAAAGAAAAAAAAAAAAAAAACATCGAGACACAATTGCCCCGTGTAGTACAATCAACCTTGGGCGCGTGAGCAACAAACACGTAGGTAAAAAGTATAAATTGACGAAGGAGAAGGAAAACCTTTTTCACGGTAAACCCACGCATATGTATGTGTATATGTAACAATCCGCACGGGAGGCGTGAATGCCGGAGGCGAGCGACGCGAACTGACTGAGCCGCCGGCCGGCCCGCAGCTCCTCCTGGTCCCCCCTTTCCCCGCTGACCGGCCGCGGTGGTGGGAGAGCAAAGNCCAAAATTGATATATATATATATATATATATATATATAGCTGGCGTCGCGGGGGTTACGACTCGAGGCAGGGGCGAGAAAATAAGAAGAGAACGAGGGGTGAGCTTCGCGAGCGAGAAGAGACGCGCGAGGGTTCAACGAGAAAAAAAATGCACGCACACCCGCGCGAGTCAACGCAGAGAGAGGAAAAGAGCAAAAGCAGTGGGGGGAGGGGGAGAAAGGGGGGATCCCCGCGCAGGAGAGAAAAATCCGAGGATCCCGCTCGCGGTCATAATCGCACAGACCGCGTCATAATCTGCGACGGAATACATTCGATAAGCTGCAGCCAGAGAGAGCGAGTGTATCGCACGAGCGAGCCGAGGATGGCGGAGAGAGGGGGGAGCAGCTATCGCAGTCGAGTGGGCGTGGCCGGTGTTCTCTCGAGCCCGCCCCTGTGGCTCCCGCTGCGTGTGCACGTTTCCCCCCCCCCCTCCCACCCGTGGCTCATTCCCTCCCCTGGCCCGCCCCACCAACAGCTTATTACGTATATATACACGCGCGCAGCTGATGGTATGTCTCCACCCCAGAGTCCGCGAATAAAATCCACGACTCATCTCAGCATCTAAACTACATCTTTGTCCTCATCTGACGTTTAAAGGATAAGTATAGAGATCTGTCTCTCTTTTCTACTTCTCGCGCGCATTCGTGTATATAACACTTATTGCCACTGGGGCAGTAAAAATCAAAGTATTGGAGGACCATGTACAAGTACATAAATGTAATATATCCGTGTAGGGCCGAGGTGAGGTGATTGCTTATTGGTCGCGGTGCGCGGGGTTTGCACAACTGTACGGAGAAACGAGGGATGAAAAAAGACCGGGGATGGTCCAGGCCGTGCAAAATACATGTACTCGCGGCAGGTTCGAGCATATAAGGGAATGTCTTCTCGCGTGGACGTTTAGCGCTTGATGATTATTTATCATCGGTCCTCGGGGGGGGGGGGGGGGGCCTGATTGATCACTTGCTTCCGACTCGTTTTGATTACTCGGTCCCGCGAGCTGATGCGTCAGGGTATATATACATGTGACACACGACGCTCCTGCGACGGTCGCCGTTGTTCGGCTGCTGATGCTATTATTATTTGCTGCTCTTGATGCTTCCAATACTCAGGTGACGTGATCGATGAGTTATACATATATACATTCACTTCTGGAGTGCTG